TTTTTTAGAAGTGTTCAGCATGTCGTTCATGACATTTACAATTTCTTCTTTTACTTGAGAGACTATTTCTGATTTGAGTTCTTTTATAGCTTCCTGGAGTTAGTTGTTTACTTCAGTTGATATCATTTCTGGCATTTCAAGTGTATGGCTTATATTTTTTTCTGTGTCCATGTCTCCTAGGCTTGCTTGGGTTGGGCTGGAAGTTTGAGATTGCATTTTGCTCTTTTGTCATTTTCCTATATTTCCAGTCTTTGATGTTTCAAGGCTTCCCCCATGTGCTGGAATCTCCTGGCCCACTTTTGGCTCCTGGGGCAGACAGCAGGCAACAACCAGCTGCTTGGAGTTCACTGGGCATGAGCCAGTCAGGCCAGTGGTGCCTCCTTGGGACCTCCTGTGATTTCAGACATGGGGTGTGGTCTTACAGACTGGTAGTGAAGTTCCAAGGTTTCCTTGTGTACTGGGTTTGAACCCATGCATACTCTGGGCCCGGGACTCAATTTGTGCCCTTGCCAGCTAGTTGGAGTTTGTTGGGCGTAATATGGTTTTCTTTAAAAATGTTAGAACAAGTTGACAACAATCAGCAAGCATACAAAAGACACTTAATGTTATCAACCAAGTGGACCTAATTGATGTGTGTAGAATTCTTTACTCAACAATAGCAAAATCACTCACAAACATAAATAAATTCTGTGCCAAAAATGTAGTGGTTTCAATTAATTAAAAAAAATTTTCAAAAATTAAAAATATACAGAGCATGTTTCCTAGTTGCAGTAGAATTATATGAAAAATCAAACTAAGTCATCTGGAAAAATCTTAAATGCGTTGAAATAAATAATGCTTTTTAGTTAACCTACAACTAAAGGAGAAATCACAAAAGGAAATTAGAAACTATTTTAAGAAGTGAAGTAAAAAATATAACACATTAAAACTTAGTTAACAGCAAAAGTACTTTGAAAGAAATTTATAGAATTAATTATTATTTATATGAGAAGAAAGGAAAGGTCTCAGGTAATCATTTAAGTGTTTGATTTCACAATTTAGAAAATAAGAATGAACTATAACTCCAGGTAAAAAGAATTTTAAAAAAGTAATGACAACAGGATTCAAGGAAATGGAAAACAAAAATAATAGATAAACAAAACAATGACAAAAACAATAATAATAAAAACAATGCACTCTTTCTTAATCAAATTGATAAATGAAAAAAGAAAAGATACCAAATACCAATATTTGGGATCATCAATGCATGTATTATAATTACTTAAACATAATAAAAGAATATAATAAACAAATTTATGATAACAAACTCTGTCACTTGGAAGACATGATAAACTTTCTTCAAAGCCACAATTTACCAAACCGTAGTCAAGGAGAAACAAATAACTGAACAAAATTCAACTCCCAAACTCATTTTATAAAATCACTATTACCCTGATACTAAAAGCCGTTGTAATAAAAGAAACCTCCAGCCAATCGCTCTGTTGGATTCAGTTCCAAATTTTCACAATTTGATCAATCTGAATCCAACAATTGTGAAGATAGTAATACAGCAAGACTACTAAGTTATTCTATCATTATTTATTGAATGACACTTTAAAATGAATTATTCATAGAAGATTACCTAAAAGATATTTGAATAGTCAGTAAATGCGTCCTTTAGGAAAATGGTGACATGAGGCAATGCTAACACTATGATGCTAGGGAAGGTAAATGGAAAATTCTCTCAACACATGCACAGTGGAGCAGTGCTGAGAGATACAGCAGCTGTTACAAAGTCCTGCATGGACCCAGAGATGTTCTGCCCAGACGTCTTTGGCCCCAGCTGCTACGAATGTTAGCAGATGATGGCCAAGCCCCTCACTTGTCATAAAAATTCCCTGTGTCTGCAGGTTACACCACCACCCTTCCTGGATGCAGGGTGCAGTTAATGAGGGTCTGATAGAAGTGCTCAAACCTCCTAAGTCATTCGCATAAGAAAGCTCTTAGCTACCAGGGCACCTGACCTAAGGCATTTGATGCCAAGAGGGATGTGAGAACTAGACTCTCATGATGGGATTCAGGAGTTGATTCATCTACCTGCCAGGTGGAAATGAGCAATTCTTAACTCCTCCTGGTGGATACTAGTAATTCCTGTTGTGCTGGAATAGCGTGCTCCCCAAAGCTTTCACTTATAGAGAACAGGGATAGAGTAAAGGGTGAGGGGGAGGCAGCAGTTTACACAGTAGCTGTGGCTTGTGAAAGATCTGAGAGAGACTAAGTCTCAACCCAGTGGGTTGGACTGGACAAATTAATGCAAAGCAGGAGTGTCAAGGAGAGAGCACTTAATGGGACCCTATTTCCTTTTCCCACAGGTGCAAAATGAGCTGAGTGTCAGCCATAATTGTAAAAGAAGTAGAAATCTAAAAGAGATTAAATTCTCAGTGCAGTACAGTCCTCTGTTAAAGCTAGGATATGAACAGGTATCGGGTTTTGACCTAGATCTCCAATCTCCCAAATGAGTATATGGTGGAGGTTAAATAAAAAGAGACAAATTTTAAAATATTTTAGGGCTCCAAGAGGATCAAAACCCTTTAAATGAGCTGGAGACTCTAAGGGCTAAGACAAAGACTTTTTTAGACCACCCTCTTTATTTATTAGGTCCAACAACAAGGGGCGGAAAAACTGAGGAAAGTCTAGGCAATGAACAGGACCTTGGGAATCACTTTAATGATGGCTCCAAGTAATGAATGAAGTCAATTTGGTGAAACTGTCATATGATGAAGACACCATAGGAGTGAGACTGTAGGGGTAATTCCTGCACCTGCAGTCTCTATCTACTTAATTAGTATTTGAACAAAGTGTCCATTGTTGGGCCTTATCTTGCCCTTTGAGATATCTCAGGCCTCACAGGCCCTATAGGCCTCAGTCACAACCAGTGATTCATAGAGGTTCACTTACTATGAATCAGCTCCCATCGCCAGGCAAGGGGCCAAGGCCTAGGACAAACACAGATAAACATAAAAAGCCAATTAGTTAAATTTAAATCCTGCTCAGAGCTGCTGGGTAGTGGTCTCCAATAAATAGGAAAGGCGTAGAAGTCTCAGGATTAGGATGGAGGTATCTAAGTAAAGTTCCTGGAACCTCGATCCATCTGAATGTCCTGGGTCTGCAGCCTTTCCCCCTTGCTTCAATTCTATGGAAACACATCAGCCAAGGCAGATACCGTGTAAGACAGTTCTGGCCTACATGTGGGTTTGCCCTCATCTTGACTGTTGATATGAGGACTATGAACTTGGGGTTAAACGAAGTGCGACCTACTGAGGAAGCACTGGGTCCACAAAGGAAGGGAAGGGCCACCTGCCAAAGGAGCTGCATGACCTGGGTGGCAGAGACCAGCTGGAACTAGGACAGCATTCCTGGGAGAGGACCTTTAAGGGGCCTTCTTCAGGGGAGCTGCATGAAACTTGCTGTAAATTGGACAGTTTACCAAAATGTGAACAATTTCCCATAACAGCACTTAGTACAGAGGCAGGGGTTTCGGAACTCTGCTCTTATTAATCTCCTGATAGAAAGGCCTCTGGCATGATATAAAAAATCGATGAACTATATTAAAAGAAGCATAGCATGAAAAAGGACTGCAACGTAAGCTATGTACAAGGTCATATTTTATGAACCTAGAAAAGCACCCACCTGACAAATTCCCTGGGAGGTTACTGCAGATTAAATTGTGTCCCTTCCGATTCATTTATTGAAGAACTCAGCACACATTATGGTTTGATCCAAAGTGACCTGAAAAATTCTCACATATTCCTTTGTGGAGCTTTGGAAAGCTTTTTGGATTGTGGGGCACTAAGTTCCTCAGAAGACTCATTCATTGATGGTTAGCTGTGCAGCTAGGAGGTGGGACCTTGTCTGAATGTGGACCACAGTGGGATGCTCTAGAAGCGTATATTGTGCCTCTGGATGCTCCCAATTCTCTGTCTGCTTCTTGGCTTCTATGGGATGAGCAGCCCTTCCTCCATGTCATTTCTGCCCTGGAGACAGCAGTACTATACCTTAACCCACTGGAATGTGTAATTTAAACAAACCTCTCCTCCTTCCAGTGGTGGGTGCTAGGTATTGTGTACACAACCCTGCCTCCTGTGACACTTAGAGATAGGGTGTTTTGTAAAAACTTTTGAGTAGCTACGCTTAGCATTCATTCGTTGTGGAAAAGGAGAGCAACCACAGGCTGCTCCAGGGGGGTAGAGGAACCTGAAGGAGACTAAGCCACAGTCTGGATCTAATGGAAATCATTAAGGTATGAAGAAACCTACATTAAGTCTAACAGATGAGGTACATTCCATAACAGTAAGAGGTAAAATAAAGCAATCTCTGAGTTGAAATTCTGAACAAGACCTAGGTGTCTCCAAAGGAAAGGTGAGGGACAGCAGCATAATCTTACAGAATGAGACCTTCAGTCTTAAGAAGTCCTTCCAAAGACCAGGCTTCATGAAACCAATTGTTATCTGTCTCCCAACCAATGGGGAAGTGATAAAGAATAGTGACAGGCAGATTTCTGCTCTGGAAGACACATAGAAATGGTCCTAGGAACAGGAGAAACCCAATAAATGCTAGAATTGTATGAATGTATCATATAGTTTCAATTCTATACCTGTATATCAATATGCATCTCATGTGTGACTCTACATAGTTTAAATACTATGAAGATCAGACACAGCATTCACAATGTTTAGAGAGACAAGCACAGTGGTAAGCCTAATCCTCGATGGTGCTGCTGTGTCACCATCACTGGGGAGAGATAGTGACGCAGTGTGCTTACACACACACAAGGCTTCCCTTTGTTTAATCGATATCCTGTGTGTTCCCTTTGGCTATGAAGTACAAGATATGAAAGTAACATTAATGATAGAATTTCCATCAGATAAAAGATAAACATCTGCTTAGTCACTGGGTTTTAGCAGGGCTTAAGTGCTATGAATTCTGGGTAGGTTCCGGAACTCTGTGGGTGTTATGGACGGGTCATAGACCATTGCCAAGGCTTCAGTTATACCTGACACCAACCGCAGTGTGTGCTCAGCATTAATTATTCTGGAGTAGGTTCTAGTGAGTAGATAGCTTCTTGGGTTATACACTGTTGTTTGCTTATATATATATTCTTTATCATCAGCATCTGACTTTTTAAGGCAGGTTAAGACAGAAACTTACCTGACATCAGCAATTCTCCAGACTTGAGCCATGAAGCACAAAAGAAGAAAGAAGCACCTTGAACTCTCACTGTTAGAACAAGCTGAACAGAGATTCAGAGGTAAGTGTTAGCATATTCTGGGAACAGGGCCCCAGGGACTGCCTCCTAAACAGGAGAAGAGAGAATCTGTAGATTGTGGTGCAGTAGCAGAGAAGAGAGAAACAGGGAGAGAAGTGGGTGAAGGGGAGAAGTGTGCATGTGTGTGTGTGTGTGTGTGTGTGTGTGTGTGTGTGTGTGTGTGTTCGTGAGAGGAGGTGGTCTGAGAGGGAACAAACGGATAAGATGACCCAGAAAGATCTCTGTGGCCTAAGGCCTAGGTTGCCTATGTACACTCCCTCTGGGTTTCTGACTTACAGATGTAGTGTAGACTAATTTTTCATTTAAAAGTGCACTTTCTCTCATCTTACTGCTTCCTAAGAGCACCATGGAAGTAAATGATGTTATAAATTTTCCAACAAAATTTTTTAAAAGTTTTGGTGAAAAAGAGACTGTGCCTTATAGAAGTGAGCAAAATATTTTTTTAAAAAACTTGAAACGCTATTGTATGGAGAAAGAAGTATAAAATGAGAAAGAACTTACTTTGTCAACAGTGCATTTTTGTTTCAGACTATGGACATGTTGATGCAGGGCTCCTCTGTTAAATGATAGAGAAACCAGCATACATAAACACACAAACACACAAGCTCACATGAACACAAACGCTATTTAACCATGTACTGTGAATTATGGTGATGAGACTTGGCACTCTGAGGAAAAATTGGAAATTACACCTTTGTGCTTACCTTGGAGACTGACAACAAAGGACTCCTAGGAAGCAGGACCAAGTTGAGGGGTGGGAGGAGGACAGATTGGAGCCAACTCCAACATTCAGAGAGTGGCTCATTTCTCTGAGAAGAGTCTCACTCCGCCAGCATAGTTTGAGGCCTGTGTGTTTTCCTATGGTTCCTTGTAGGGAGAGGCCTGGAGATGAAATCAGCTTTAGCTCACCTTCAATGAAATGAGCACGTATTCAAAGATGTTAATGATTAGAATTTATGAAATATCTAAAACACATATCTGAATTCCTTATACCTAGACCACAAAGAACAAAACCAAAAAGGCCAGGGAAGGTAAATACTACAATCAAACCAAGTCATTCTGTTACAATTCATTCAAACAATTCATTCAACCAATCATACAAGTCATTCTGTTACAATATGAAATCAGATTATTTTCTTTCAATAACACATTACAAACTGACTTGATAACAGAGCAAGCTACAGAAAGTGGTACATGATGAGGCTCCAGATTCCATAAGTATGAGCTCAAAATATGCCATCAGCAGGAGATTTCATAGGCTGAGATGGAAGACAACAAGGTGGTCATTGACACAGAGCATTCAAAGAGGCCTAGGGTGACCAACATCCCATTCCACTGCAACAGGAATGTTCACACAGATGTAGAGGTTTCTATGGTTGTAGAAGTGGCACATGCCAATTCGACTCGTTTTTCCTTGTAGGAAACATAACCATATGATCACAGTTAACTACAAAACAGCTCACTTAAGTATAGCACAGTAGTTTGGTGAAGGTGAAAGATGGAAGCCAGCCCAGAGAGTGCTCTGACAGAATCAGTATTGTTTTTTATTTTTAAAAATTTTACTAATGGAAACCATAGTATTGAGCTACTTTCACTATCGTCACTTCTTCTAACATGCTTTCAATCATAAACATTTTCTCAAGCACGTATGGGTCTTTGTGGCACATACCACTTGCTGTTACACCATCTCACAAACAATAATCACCTATGGGGCCACAGGTACTGTTACATACTACATTTCAACACATATAGAATTGCATTCCATTATCATTCACTTTTTCAGTACCAGAGACATGCACCAGAACCTACCCGAAAATATCCAGGATTGGGGGTGAAGGGCATGTTTGAGCTGGGGTTCAGGTTTGCCTGTAGATGGAGGTGGAGATGATAATGATGGAGCTAGCTACACAGAGACAGAGACAGAGATAGAAGTAACCTACATTCAGGAGACACACCAGTGCTCATTTTTCTCCTGGCCATGCCAAGTACACACACCCTGTAACGTTCCACAGAAGCACTCCCAGAGATATTCTGCTGGGCATCTTATCTCCTTCCTTTTGTAATCAGTTACCTCAATATGTTCCGGGTCATGGACCCTCTGAAAGGTCTTTGCATCAAGGTATGGTGAGAGGGAGGGATTCATTTCTAATTCACGTTCCCCTTCACCTGGTGCCTTGGCTGGTAACTCATTGCTGTCCTTAGAATCTTTGAAAACAAACAAGTCATTGAGCATTTATTCCACACATGTCCCAAAGCAAAGGAAAGAGCGCTGCTTTAGGGGATGTAGCAGAAGATTTGAAGGCGCCCTCAAAGAGGATAAGAGTAGCAAGCATTAGCGTCCCTAAGAAGCTGCTTCAGAAACTCAGCCTCCCTTATGTAAGGGACACCTTGGGCCTAGTGAGGGTGACCTAGCCAGTGACATCCAAGAGGAAGGGGAGGGGCTGAGAGGCCCTCAGGGCCTGGAGATCAGGAGCCGGGTGCAGCACCCAAAGCTCAGAAGAGCTGGTGGACAGGAAGGTGGCTTCAGGTGCGTGGGCTGCTGACAGCTCCTCCCACTGTGGAGTGGCTGCAGGAGCACGTGGAGCACGTGGGCGAGGAGGCTGTCGCCTGCCGTAATGTTCACCTGGCACTTGCCAATCTTAGGAAAAGGGGGCCGGATAGTGAGACAAATGGAACACCTTGCGGCCCTCCCAGGGCACTTCTGGTTTCTCTCCCTTCTGTGTGTTTTGGCCTGAACACAGCTCATCTCTCCCCACGCAGCCCGGAGCTGCCCTGGCTCCACCTCATTACCTCCCGCATTCCGCGTCCACAGCACGCGTGACGCCAAAATGTGGAAGCAGACGGAGCTTCAGCAGTGCGGACGGCAGTGCCCCACCTTCCCGGCACTCGTCCCCCACCTTTTCCTCAAAATGTGCTTTGGAAGGACTTCGACATATTCTCTCCTGCTTTTTTTTTTTTTTTTTTTTTTAGAGCAGTGAAGGCAGCCTTTCCCCATGTTACCCCCAATAAACTTATGAGCACTTATTTGGCTTGAACTGAAAATGATTGAGGAAAAGATATGTAACTCCATGACTGAAACCAAAAAGTAACTCAAACCCAGTCTTTGGCTTCTCTAAGGTGGTGAACATGGAGGTTCACAAATATATGGAGTCATACTAAGAAGGGAGGTAGAAGATGTATGTAGAGGGGTCCCTGAAATCAGGGTGCACTTTAACCCTAACAACTTTAAAGTCGTAAGTCTTACTAATTTCTGGGTACCGTCATTTGTACATTTAATTATTTATATGTCAAGTAACTTGTTTAACTGGGAGCATCTTTCAATATGACCTTTAATTTACGTTTATTCTTCTTATCTCCCATTGAAGAACAAAAAATGAAAAACTGAAAATGTGGAAGGTATTATTGACAATTCCAAACTCATGTGGTGTGCTCAAGCATATTGTGAATATTTAAATTTTCAAAAGTACTATAGTGAAAGACCCATTGCTGTTAATTCTCTCAAATTACTCCTCCTGGTTTCTAAGCCACCTTCTGAGGCATTTGTGGAGCCCCTTGGTGAGCATCTTTAGCTCTGCTCTCTTGGCTCTCTTGATGTGCTGAATCAATTCAAAATGTGCCAGTGCAGTAAAGAAGATGCATTTTACCTTTTGAATTGATTCAGGAGAGCCAGTTAGGCCGGATAGTATAACTAAAGATGCTCAGGAGGAGGGCTCCCAACAATGCCTCAGAGATTGGCAAGAATTGTGGCCTAGATGCCTTAGAAGCCTGGGGCATTGTTTTGAGTGATTAACAGCAGTTTTTTGGCATAATAATTGTCTTAAATGTAAAATTCACATTATTCTTCAATCACACCTTATATATAGGGAAAGAAAAAATGCGCAAATAATTATAACCACCTGCAAAAATGGTATCTTCTATTGTAAGTTTATCATTATTAAGCCTGAAACTGCAAGAAGGCATTTGAGAATCCCTACTTATGTGCATGTTTAAATATCTTTCAACAAATTCATTTATTGCTTATTCTGTCCTTTCTATTTGAGTGAGATGTGCTTGTGCACATACATACAGGAGCCAAAGAATGGCCGCAGTTACTTGGTCTTCCTGGTACTTGCTATTTTCTTCATGGGAAAGAGTCTCCGCTATCCCACCCACATGTGTGTAAAAGCAAAGAAGCCAAATGAGGCCCCTACTTCACTATTTGACTTGGTGACTGACCTATCTATGCCTGTTGGACAATCGGCAGTGATAGGTTGCACATTTTAAACAGAAGAGAGAGAGAGGTTGGCTTTTAGCTTTGAACAATCTGGTGTGTGAAACTCTAAATAAGATCTACAGTCCTCAAAAGCTGGCCCTTCTTTGTTATTTTTTAAAGTATTTGTTTCAGTGGTTACTTTAATTCACTGAGCATCTCTAAAATCTTCAATGAAATTTTTCTTCTGCCTCTTATATCTTCAGTTACTATTTGTCACCTATTGTACCTTACTTGAATCCAGTCAGCTTTAACAAGATATTTTCTTCTACATTAACAAATTGAAATGAAAAATTCCATGAAGGAGTACCAAATTATAAGCCTCAAACTTTATAATGAAGCAATAAGGGATGTATTCAACCCCAGAACAGATGATACTTTCCTCATCGATTAGGGAGAGACAGAAGAATTTTGGAGGCAAAAAACAAAACAAAACAACAAAAAAAGCCACACCACTTATCAACACCATGAACTTGTGAGCTTAAATCCCTTTCTGCTATTTACCAACTAATTGTCCTTCTGAATTAGCTGTCCTGCCTTGGAAATGCAGAGTATAATACTTAAAATGATCATGCCAGTGAAGGTGACAAGGCACAGGTAAAAGCCTGCACAGAGCTGAGATGAAAAAAACGAGCCCTGAGCCTGAAGATGCTTGTCCTGGCAGCCAGTGGGGAACTGATGTCACTGGCAGCTGTCACACTCCCAGCCCTCAGCACCCTGGGGGTGGCCCTGGGTTACTTGGCCCAGCATTTCCTGGCTCTCTCTGTGGCTGCCCGAGTGGATTCTCAGCCTGCTTCCTGATAGCTGCTGTGCCCTTCACTGTACCACTCCTCTAGATCACTGTTGCTACCTTTCTGAGGAGCAGTGGAAAATAGAGGAGAGCCCAGAGCACACTGCTGATACCCTCAAATCCCTGACAAGTAATAGGTCTTGCTTACCTCTTCCCTCCCACCAGGAAGCTTCTGATAGCAGGGACGGTTGCCATTATGGCCCTGTTATTTTCTCAGAGAAGGTTGGGCTGTCAATCAAGCAATTATTTTTCTTGAAGGTGACCTGAACTGTCATCATGACAGATGCAGCTCTTAAATACCCCACAAGTTTGTCTTGGTCACAGTGGGAATGAAGTATGGGCCTATTCCAGATATCTCCACCTGCAGCTTCTCTGGGTGGGTATTGAGAAGCTAAGGGAATAAAAAAAGCCACAAATTGGTTATGGGGTTCAAGGATTTCCCACTTAACAGCAATCAAGATGCTAGTGAGATGATGGTCTTGTTCCAGATCCATGCTTACAAAACTGATTTTACATTCACACCATGAATCACCATTTTTCCCCAACTCAGTTTGGCTCCAAGCTGAAATCTGGCATGAAGGTATCTGAACAGCGAACCCTAAGTTGTATCTGAATCTCTCACTACAGTGTAAGGCTCTTGATCACCTTTCTCCTCCAAAGATATCACAGTAGTTCACTATGCTGATGACATTATGCTGATTGGATCTAGACAGTAAGTAGAGGCAATTATTCTATGTTTATTGGTGAGACATTTGCATGACAATGGTGGTGATCATTATCCCAAAAGACTGAAATCTCAAAGCTTAAAATCCTCAAAATGGAAATCCTCAAAATTGTTTTTCTCATTGGGAGCACAACTTGTAATAGCTAAATCTTGGAAACAACACAAATGCCATCCACCATGGAATGAATAAAAAGGATGGGGCATTTTTGTTCAACAGAGTAGTACTTGGCTATGAAGAGGATAAACAGGAGGGTTTTATAGGTAAATGGATGCAACTTGAGACCATACTTATAAGTGAAATAAATCATACTTGCATGTGGAAACATCATATTGTCTCTGTAGTGTAAAAAATTGAAAAAGAAAATAAAGATCCAAAGTGCACAATAGATATTATAAACATGAAAGGGGAAGAAACTGCTTAAAGAGAGAGAACAACTGGGATAGGGAAAGGAGAAAAGAAACAGGGGAAAAGAGTATATATATATAATAACCACCAAATGGATGCAGTATATTTGTGATCCAAGTCATTTCTCAGAGTCAGAAGTTTTCAAGCAGTAAGCTTATTTCCCATTAGAAAAGATTTCACACCATAGTGATTTCCTCAGTCATTCCCCAAAGAGCTTATGAACACTTATGTAAGAAGTCATATATTGAGGAAAAGAGAATATTCAGATCTTTTGAAAAATAGTTTTGAGGTTAACACCAATTCCCTTGGAAATCTTAAAAAAAGTTCTGTTAAGTACAACAATTCCACCTCCTAAGTACTTACCCAAGAGAGAAGAAATATCAGTGTATATATACACGAAACTTACACCCGCATGTACATGTATGTAGCTAATGGCATGTTGTGGGCCTTGTGTGTAAAGCATGGTGTTTGCTCAGTATGCCCACATACACCCCAGCAACTTATACAAAATTCTCCCTAAATTCAATTGATTTCAGGATTGGCCTATAAGACAAATCCTGAAAGAGTTCCTACAAAACCATGGACACAGATTACAGCCAAAGAAACCTACAGAAAGCTTAATACCAACAGTCTTGATATTACAGCTCTGCCACCTGTTCCTTCAAGCAACAAGGAGAAAATTCCTAGATGCCTCTTATCAGTTTGGCTTCACATCCCTGTTTGTGTCAGTAAGAGGAGAGTTGACCTTCTGAACACATTTATTTTTCTCTGGAGGGTACTTTTAAGCATAGGTAGCTGCAGGCAATTTCTGTTGTGCAATCGAGGCTGAGTAGTGGAATATGTTCCCTAGAGAAAATGTTATGGAAGTTCCTGGGTATATGAATTTAGCAACATTTTGCTAGTCTGGGTCAGTTCAGCAGAAAATCTCTTTTTAGTATAGTCTAGTAGTGAGAGAATAGAAATATTGTCATCCTAAAATGGTGGTATTTTAGGAAAACTTTTTAATGTACAAAGGGTGATCAAACTATACAGTTGTATTTAAATGCTAAAAAGTTATTTCACTAAAAGGCACATCACCACTAATTCTCTTCAAAATACTCCCTTCAAACACACTTGTCCACCGTTCTTGCCACTAATGCCCTTGTAGAAACCCTCCATTTGTGTCTTTATGGGGTGTAATAAAAAATATGGAAAGGCAAGCTTGTAAAACATGATGGTTTGTCCTCATCCTTCTTATTCACTGAGTTTGGCATCATGAGGTTTCAGGCTTTTTCCAAAAGTCACAATGACCATGATAAGTAAGTGTTTTGAAGCAATCCAAGAGATTAAGGCAGCCATGACAGTCCAACTACAGACATTCACGAAAGAGGACTTCCAGAACTGCTCTGAAATGTGCAAGGACGACAGGATAAGTGTGTTAGAAGAGAGGGGGATTCATGCAAAACAACTTTCACTGTAATATGTTTTTAAAATTAAACATTCGCCATATTTCTGAGTCACGCCTCATATTTGAGCTTTCTCTAAAGCAGGCCCTCATGTGTGAGCATCTTAATGTCTCCCTCGGGTAAGAAACTGAAAGAGTAAATAAGATCCAAAACTTATAACAGATACTGTGAAATGGGAAGAAACTTCTCAAAAGAACAACTGAAATGGGGGAAATGAGAAAAAAAAAGGAAGAAGAAAAAATACATATATACACACACAAGATAGCTAAGATAATTATGCTACTACTTTGTATTAGTTCATTGAAAAGAAGTTTGTGCTTATATTTAATCAATTTTTCATGCCTTATCTTGTAATCTGAGCAACTACTTTGAAAGATAACAATATACAATATATTAATCATTGTTAATCTGTTTTCCTGTTTTGAAATATCCTTCATTGCTTCTATTGTTTTTTCTCTTTAAAATAAATTAATATTTAAAAAATAAGTAAAAATATTTGAGCTTTCTCTCCTTATTGTGGTAAAATCCAAATCATATTTAGTTTGCCTTAGTTTTATCTTTTATACCTCTGGTAAAA